GTGTCACTATTTACAGTTTTGCTTCTTTCAAATATTCTCTTTCAGCATTTGGGAATGAGAGGAAATATTTCAGTATAAAAAGAATTGTCTTTCCCCCAGATGGTCTACTTAGGGATATCATTCCACAAGTGAGTGCACTTAGAATCAAAGAATATTAGGGTTGGAAGGGACCTCAGGAGATCATCTAGTCCAACCCCCTGCTCAAAGCAGGACCAATCCGCAACTAAATCATCCCAGCCAGGGCTTTGTCAAGCCTGACCTTAAAAACCTCTAAGGAAGGAGATTCCACCACCTCCCTAGGAAACCCATTCCAGTGCTTCACCACCCTCCTAGTGAAAAAGTATTTCCTAATATCCAACCTAAACCTCCCGCACTGCAACTTGAGACCATTACTCCTTGTTCTGTCATCTGGTACTACTGAGAACAGTCTAGATCCATCCTCTTTGGAACCCCATTTCAGGTAGTTGAAAGCAGATATCAAATCCCGCCCCCATTCTTCTCTTCTGCAGACTAAACAATCTCAGTTCCCTCAACCTCTCCTCATAACTCATGTGCTCCAGCCCCCTAATCATTTTTGTTGCCCTCTGCTGGACTCTTTCCAATTTTTCCACATCCTTCTTGAAGTGTGGGGCCCAAAACTGGACACACTACTCCAGATGAGGCCTCACCAATGTCAAATAGAGGGGAATGATCATGTCCCTCGATCTGCTGGCAATGCCACTACTTATACAGCCCAAAATGTGGTTAGCCTTCTTGGCAATGACGGCACACTGTTGACTCATATCCAGCTTCTCATTCACTGTAACCCCTAGGTCCTTTTCTGCAGAACTGCTGACTAGCCATTTGGTCCCTAGTCTGTAGCAGTGCATGGGATTCTTCCGTCTTAAGTGCAGGACTCTGCACTTGTCCTTTTTGAACCTCATCAGGTTTCTTTTGGCCCAATCCTCTAATTTGACTAGGTCCCTCTGTATCCTATCCCTACCCTCCAGCGTATCTACCACTCCTCCCAGTTTAGTGTCATCTGCAAACTTGCTGAGAGTGCAGTCCACGCCATCCTCCAGATCGTTAATGAAGATATTGAACAAAGCAGGCCCCAGGACCGACCCTTGGGGCACTCCGCTTAATACCAGCTGCAACTAGAAATGGAGCCATTGATCACTACCCATTGAGCCCGATGATCTAGCCAGGTTTCTATCCACCTTATAGTCCAGTCATCCAGCCATTCTTCTTTAACTTACTGGCAAGAATACTGTGGCAGACCATATCAAAAGCTTTGCTAAAGTCAAGGAATAACACATCCACTGCTTTCCCCTCATCCACAGACCCAGTTATCTTCTCATGATGAATCCATGCTGACTGTTCCTGATCACTTTCCTCTCCTCTAAGTGCTTCAGAATTGATTCCTTGAGGACTTGCTCCATGATTTTTCCAGGGACTGAGGTGAGGCTGACTGGCCTGTAGTTCCCCGGATCCTCCTTCTTCCCTTTTTTAAAGATGGGCACTACATTAGCCTTCTTCCTGTCATCCGGGACCTCCCCCGATCGCCATGAGTTTTCAAAGATAATGGCCAATGGCTCTGCAATCACATCCTCCAACTCCTTTAGTACCTTTGGATGCAGTGCATCTGGCCCCATGGACTTGTGCTCGTCCAGCTTTTCTAAATAGTCACGAACCACTCCTTTCTCCACAGAGGGCTGGTCAACTCCTCCCCATACTGTGCAGTAGTCTGGGAGCTGATCTTGTTCATGAAGAGAGAAGCAAAAAAGCATTGAGTACATTAGCTTTTTCCACATCCTCTGTCACTAGGTTGCCTCACTCCTTCAGTAAGGGGCCCACACTTTCCTTGACTTTCTTCTTGTTGTTAGCATACCTGAAGAAAGCCTCTGCTGATCAGGAGAATTTCCTTTCTCTCCCAAAGTCACGCCAAGATAATTAACTTGTTGGGAGCACAACTGGGCTTTCTTTGGGCTTACTTTGAACCCAGTTTCCTGAATATCTTGTAATACCCTATCCAGTACTTCCAAATTATCTTCCTTGGTCTGTGTGCAAATCAGGATGTCATCCACATAAGAAGTCTCACTGGCTCTTTCAGGTTTCCCATCCCACATATTAACTACATGGCCATGGCAAACAAGAGGGTGTGCATCTACCTCATGGGAATTCTGGCAAAACATAGCTGTTTCTCTTGAAAAGTAAAAGCAACTTTGTAATAGCTGTCCCGATGTAAATGGATAGCAAAAAAAAGCACTGGTTAAATCCAAAACTGAAAACCACTGAGCCCCTGCCCACAATGGAGGCCATCACCTCCTTATACTTTGCCACTATGGGGGCCATTGGGGGTGTCACCCGATTAAGGGGGCAAAAATCAATTACCAGCCTCTAGGTCTTGCCATGACTTTTCAGGACCGGCCAGAGAGCAGCATTATTGGGGCTTGACTGTTCCCTTGGCTTAAAGCCCATCAATTGTTTCTTTCAGGCTGGCTTCTGCCTCTCTTGGATACCTGTACTGCTTCTGTGGGTGGGGGGAGATCAGGGCCTGTAACTAGGTTTTCTGCTTCAGTTTTACCACATTCTCTTTTATTCTTGGCCCACAGTTCCCAGTGTTTCAATGCAATTGACAGAATTTCTGGAACCCATTGGAACCACTCCAATTCTCCGATAGCTTGCCAAAATCTCCACTTGTCCCCAGGATGTGCCAGGAGGCATTTTCCATGAAATCCTGTTAGTAAAATCAACTAATACTCTTAGCTCTCTTAAATCAATTCCCAAAATCCCTTCTCCCCCCAAGTTTATTAAACCAAATTGCTCTTTATTTCTCCTCTTCCACATCTAATACAAAATATTTCTTCAAAACGGAACGACACTCTTTGTCTCATTAAACACTCTGTTGTCTCATTATGAATCAGCAGTGTGCCCTTGTTGCCAAGGAGGCTAACAGCATATTGGGCTCCTTAGTAGGAGGATTTCCAGATGATTGAGGGAAGTGATTATTCCCCTCTATTCAACACTGTTGAGGCCACATCTGGAGTATTGCATCCAGTTTTGGTCCCCTCACTACAGAAAGGATGTGGACAAATTGGAAAGAGTCCACCAGAGAGCAATGAAAGGCTGGGATACATGACTTACGAGGAGAGGCTGAGGGAACTGGGCTTATTTAGTGCCCAAGACCTTCTTTAGGTTTTGACCATACAATTCCCAAGTGTTGCAAACATTACCCACAGGTGTTCTTGCAAAGTTCTGTGTGTGACGTCGCACTCCATATGCTTTAGGAGAATATGCTTATGAGTATGAATATGACATAACTGGAATATGCTTTATGCAAAATACCTCATGCAATGTGTCCTTAGAAAGGTTGTTATTTGCTGGATATGATTATTCTGCTTGCATGCATGTATCATATTTGTAGAGGAAGTTAGGAATATTGTCTTCTGTTTCTGTATTTTATGTTCAAGGCTTTGGGTCACTCCCTCTGCTTACACTTCAGGATCTTCAATGAGGAAGACAAATGGGGCTTAATTGCCCATTAACAGATAATAAAGCAAAAAGAACAGGAGTCCATTCTATGCATCCAATGAAGTGTGCTGTAGCCCATGAAAGATTAAGCTCAAATAAATTTGTTAGTCTCTAAGGTGCCACAAGTACTCCTGTTCTTTTTGCGGATCCAGACCAACACGGCTGCTACTCTGAAGCCAGATAATAAAGCTTAAACTTCCTGGGTACCTGTGGGCCAGCCCATAAAGAATGGAGACTGGAGTCTTGCAGGGACATGTGACCATATCACCTGATACTGGGTATAGAATGCCTTCCGTATGAGGAGAGCTTAAAAAGATTGGGACTTTTCAGCTTGGGAAAGGGATGACTAAGGAGCGATATGATAGAAGTGCTATAAAATCATGACAGGTGTGGAGAAATTGAATAGGAAGACTTATTTACTCCTCATAACACAAAAACTAGAGATCAACCAATGGATTTAATAGGGGGCAGATTTAAAACAAACAAAAGAAATAATTTCTTCACAGATTACAGTAAGAACTAGATAAGTTCATGAGCAATAGATCCATCAATTTTTATTAGCCAGGATGGACAGGGATCCAATGCCACGTTCTGCATGTTCATAGCATCCGTTTTCCTCAACCAGGGAGTGGGTGACAGGCATGAATCGCTTGATGATTGTTTCTTCTGTTCATTCCCTCTGAAGCATGTGGTATTGGCCACTGTCAGAAAACACGATACTGGTCTAGATGGACCATTGGTCTTACCCAGTGTGGTTATTCTGATGCCCGCTGTCATGCACCAGAACGTCTCCCCTCCCTGAGCTGAAATAGAACCCAGAGGTGGCTGACAGGCTCTCTTTCTCCACAGAGTTAGTAACAAAGTAAGTATATGCATTAAAATTTTAAACCTAAGCAGTGTCCCTTAAGTGACTTGCCACAAGAGGTCAGAGTACGTTAGTACCAGAGCTGAGTGGGTCTAATATTTATTTATTTTTCTTTCTCTTATATAGGAATTAGATACAGTGCTCCTGTCAGCTATTTGCTAAGTTATCTCCCAAAAAATTTAGAGTTTCGAGTGTCTAAGTAGCCCCTTGAATCATGGATAAAGTTACTACCCCTCCCAAAATCTGAAATAGTGCCCTTGCAGTGGGGGGGAGGGACATGGAGATGATCCAATGAGTGATAGGGGGACGGGTGGAGCAAGTGATAGGGACATGGCCTTTGGGGGGGAAGAGGCAGAACAAGGGCAGGGCCTTGGTGGAAGAGGTGGGGCAAGGGGTGGGCCCTTGGGGTCAAGTTACCAGCAATTTGAAAGCTGTCAACTCAGTGAGTTGTACACAGAATAATTCCCCAATTGTTACACTAAAACAGCACAGTAAGGTCGAGAAAGCGTTTAATATCTCCCTGACTGTCCAGTATGTGATCCAGGGAACAGGGCCCAGCACCATGTCACAAGCCAGCTCTGCGCAGATCTCAGTCTGAGAACAAGAGCACTCGGAGAAAACATTAGGTCCCTTTCTGAGTTAAGAGCCGGAGCAGCCTGTCCCGGATCTGTTTGGTCCTCACACCGAAAATGATGGGGTTTAGCATGGGGGGCACCAGGAGGCACACATTAGCAAAGAGAACGTGGAAATGCAGGGCCACATGGTGGCCAAACCGAGATGCTAGGATAGAGAAGAGACCTGGGATGTAAAAGGCTAAAATGGCACACAGGTGGGAGCTGCAGGTCCCAAAAGTCTTGAGCCGGGCGTCCTTTGTGGGGAGGCTGAAGATGGCCCTGAGGATCTGGGTATAGGACACAGTGATAAAAATCATATCTAGACAGATGACCAAGTTTGCCACAGTGAGGCCGTAGTAACTACTGATGCGGATGTCAGCGCAGGCCAGATTCACAACGGCCATATGCTCGCAGCATGTGTGGCGAATGATGTTGGTTCTGCAATATGGCCACTGTCTTGCTAGCAAGGGACAGGGCAGTGCAAGCATGCCGCCACGCAACGTCACAGCCAGGCCGATCTTGGCCACCACATGGTTTCTCAGGGTGGTGGAATGTCTCAGGGGATCGCAGATGGCCACGTAGCGATCAAAAGCCATGGCCACGATGATCCCAGACTCCATTGCAAAGAAGGAATGAATGAAGAACATCTGGGTGAGACAAGCACTGAAATCTATCTCCCTGGAATTGAACCAGAAGATGCTCAGCATTTTGGGAATTGTGCACGTGCACAGGACGAGGTCGGTGATGGCCAGCATGCAGAGGAAATAGTACATGGGGCCATGGAGGCTCGGCTCCGTCTTCACAATGAACAGGATGATGAAGTTCCCAAAGACGGCTATGACGTACATGGTGCAGAAGGGGATGGCGATCCAGACCTGGGCTGCCTCCAGGCCAGGAATGCCCAGCAGGATGAAGGTGGAGGGGATGGTGAAGTCGGTTGTGTTGGAATCTGACATGGAGTAGGGGGAGAAGGTATCCAGCTCTGAGGTAGAACAGTATCTCCTGCATATACCGTACGTTCCCCTGCTTTCCTGTAGGTGCCCAGGGTCTAGGGCAATGGTCGCAGTACAAATGCCTAGATGGAGAGACAATGTTAATATGAGACACTACATGCACAACTACATGCCCCGCAACCTGAAGCAAATACTCACCAGCAACCACACACCATACAATAAAAACACTAACCCAGGAACCTATCCTTGCAACAAAGCCCGTTGCCAATTTTGTCCACATATCTATTCCGGGGACACCACCATAGGACCTAATCACACCAGCCACACTATCAGAGGCTCGTTCACCTGCACATCTACCAATGTGACATATGCCATCATGTGCCAGCAATGCCCCTCTGCCATGTACATTGGCCAAACCGGACAGTATCTACGCAAAAGAATAAATGGACACAAATCAGACGTCAAGAATTATAACATTCAAAAACCTGTTGGAGAACACTTCAATCTCCCTGGTCACTCAATTACAGACTTAAAAGTGACAATTCTTCAACAAAAAATCTTAAAAAAACATACTCCAATGAGAAACTGCAGAACTGGAATTAATTTGCAAAATGGACCCCATTAAATTAGGCTTGAATAAAGACTGGGAGTGGATGAGTCATTACACAAACTAAAAACTATTTCCCCATGCTAATTTTCCCCCTACTGTTACTCACACCTTCTTGTCAACTGTTGGAAATGGGCCATCCTGATTATCACTACAAAAGTTTTTTTTTCTCCTGCTGATAATAACCCACCTTAATCGATTAGTCTCATTAGAGTTGGTATGGCAACCCCCATTTTTTTCATGTTCTCTGTATATATATATCTTCCTACTGTATTTTCCACTGCATGCAACTGATGAAGGGGGCTTTAGCCCACAAAAGCTTATGACCAAATAAATTTGTGCCACAAGTACTCCTGTTCTTTTTGCTGATACAGACTAACATGGCTACCACTCTGAAAAATACAGACAGTAATTAAGGGGAGAAAAGCACATGTATCGAAGAGAAAGGACACTTGTTAATTTTGCAGTAAAAGTAGATGTGTTCAAGAAATATTTTTGTTCTGAAGCAGTATTAAGTGCTCCTATCACCTGACGTGATGAAATACAGATTTTAAACATCATCTACAGTAGTACATTAGAATTACGAACACAAGTTGCAAACTCCCAGATCAACCACACACCTCATTCGGAACCAGATGTATGCAACGAGGCAGCAGCAGAGCCAAAAAAAAAAAAAAGATAAATAGAGGACAGTTCTGTGTTAAATGTAAACTATAACAAAAAAAAGGGAAAGGTTATTTAAAATATTTGACAGGGGGAGGAAAAATGGGGAAAAAATCCTGGTATGGGATTAGTTAAAAAAAATTTGTCGAGGAATATAATTAATGCCAGACAACAGCATGGTTTATGGAAAACAGGTTTTGTCAAATAAATCTGATTTCATCCTTTAATGAGAGTACATGTTTGGTTGATCAATGGAATGATGCAGATACAATAGACTTTGATTTCTCTGAGGCATTTGATTTAGTAGGGGAAAATATGCAGATAAAACATGAACACAATGCAACAGCAGTGGAGTACATGTTAAATGGACTAAAAACTGGATAACCAACGTATCTCAGAAGGCAGTTATCAGTGGGTCATTGTCAGTGAATGGAGGTGTTTCTTGTGGTGTTCTGCAGGGATCAGTTTTAGGCCTGATGCTATTCAATATTTTCATCAATGATATGGAGAAGGGAGAAAACACTGGGTACTAATGGGCTCTGGAATCTAGCAGAGAAAGGCAGAGCAAGACCCAATGGCTGGAAGCTGAAGCCAGACAAACTCCAGTTGGAAATAAGGGCCAAAGGTTTAGCACTGAAGGTGATTAATTGTTGGAACACACTGCAAATGGAAGTGGTGGATTCTCCAACTCCCCATCGTCTACAGATGCAGCCTGGATGCTTTTCTAGAAAATCTGCTTTAGGGCTTCGCCACACTGAAAGCACTACAGTGGTGCTGGCGTAGCGCTTCATTGTAGACACTACTTACACCGACGGCAGGGGTTCTCCCATCAGCGTAGGTAATCCACCTCCCTGACAGGTGGTAGCTAGGAAGATGGAAGAATTCTTCTATTGACCTCATGCGGTCTACACTGGGGTTAGTTTGATATAGCTGCATCTCTCAGGGGTGTGGATTGTTTTTGCTGTTTCAAAAAATGAAAATGCAATGTTAAGTTGCATTATCAGAGGCATAGCATGCAAGTCATGAGAGGTGATATTACCACTCTACTCATCACTCGTTGGTCCTCATCTGGAGTACTGTGCCCAGTTTTGGTCACTGCTGTATACAAAGAATGCAGAATAACTGTACAGGATCGAGAGGCAAGTGACAAAGATGATGAAAGGGAGGGAGTACAAGCCATATGATCAAGCTGAAGAAACCGGATATGTTTAGTTTCTAAAAGAGTAGATTGGGAGAGGACACGATAGCAGTGTTCAAAATGTGAAAGGCTTCATAAAAATATGGAGGAAAGTTGTTCCCTCTTGTTGCAAAGGAAAGGACAAGAGGCAATGGGTTTAAACTACAGCATAGCAGATTTAGATGAAATCTCAGGAAGAACTTCCTAACGTAAGAACAGTAGGACAAAGGAACAGATGCCTGGGAAAGTCATTCGATCTCCTTCGCTGGAGGTTTTCCAAAGGAGGTGGATAACTATCTGTCTGGCATTGACTAAGATACATCAAATCCTGCATATTCGCAGGGGTCACATTAGATGACCCTTGCGGTCCCTTCGAACCCTATGGCTCTATGAGTCCATAATGTAAAATCCTAGTGTAGACCAGGTCTTAGTCAAACACAAGCCGTGGAGCTCAATACAGGGGCAACTGGGTGAAATGTAATGGCCTGTGTTAAACAGTAGGTCAGACTGGATGCCCTTATAGTCTCTTCTGATCTTAAACCCTATGAACCTATCAATAATAGAAGTAGATCAAGCATTCATATTTACTGTGTATCATACCACACAAAAAAGGAAACATGGGATTACATTGAAAGTCTGAACATATAACATTGAGAAAAGGAAATTGTTTACATAATCCATATTTAGCCTGTGGAACTCCTTGCCACCATCATTATTGGAAAGAAGAGCTTAGCTGGATGGGATTCACAAATGGATTGGCCATTGTGGGTCGTGCTGATGGCACCAACTTTAGTTAAGGCTGTCTTACACCTTCAGTTAGGAGACCTCATTTCTATTCCTTATAAGTTTGCCAATTGTAATCATTTGGACTGAAATTTCCCATGCTGGGTGTCTGCATCTGGCTGACTTGTTTTTTGTTTTTATTTTTGAAATATTCAAGCAGAACAATACAGCCAACTTCTTGAATTAAGTTAGAAGAGAAGATGTCTTGCCTATGTTGAAAAAGTCTTATAATTGTTCCAGTGAAGAACACCTCCATGCTTTCCAGCAGATAAAAAGTCAGGTAACAGTTCCCCCACACACCCCGCCCCATGCACCCGTTAACTACCAGAGCCCTGAAATTTAAGAGGAGGATAGTGTCTGTGCATTAACACACTGTGGTCTTTACCCAGTTCTTACTCCAAGGGGAGTTTTGATTCAGTGGCGCCTGAGCAAACTGCAGGCTACAGCCTCAGAATTTGGCCTTGTATCACACATCCATTAACACCTTTCATCCTGAAGGATCCCCTGTGCCACTGAAATGCAGCCAGATTTGGGCTGGAGGCCATCAGCCATGGGGACACAGCAAAGAGGGACATTCTGGCCCATGATACTGGAGCAAGCTCATGTCCTGTGGCAAGGGCCCAGGTATGATTAATGGCTGTGCAGAGTGGAAAGGACCACAGACTTACTGTCTCTCTCATCATGCCCATGTTGCACTCGGTTTGTCAAGAAGGTGAGCTCCTCAGCAAGCGATGGGTACCTGTGAATTCTGAGACACACGTGTCTTCCCTGGGAATCCCCCTCAGATAGTCATGTCCCACATCTCTCTCACTCCAGCATCTGCAGCAACATTGCACACTGACACCAGGATGTACACCAGTTATATTATAGCTCTGTGCAATCCCAGTGGGGTTCACTCAGCATCTAGGGGAGAAGAGGCATCTGGATGTTAACAGGCTGGACACAAGCCTCTCTGCACCTCTGTGCTGTTTATCCAGCTTTAGAAGAAAACAGTAATTATGGGGTCATCCTAAGGGAGATGAGAACACTTGGGCTCTGTGCTTAGTCAGAGAGGAATTGGCTGCTCTGTGTATTTGTGTATATTGAAAAAATATATAGTTGATTAGCAAGAAAACTGGGATTAATCTTAGGTCTCCATAGGGTCTGATACCCTGTACATGCCAGAGTGGCTGGGTAGATAGTAGACAGAATGATCTAGAGAAAGATGACTAAGGGGAAATATGAGCAGTTTCTGTAGGCACACAGAGCTGTCTAAGGTATCAAAGATCACTAATACTCCTCAGTAACGTTTCATTGAAGGATAGTGAATGGGAACATATCTCCAGTGTACAGATAGGTAAACTGAGGGATAGGGAGACATGACTTGGCCAAGGTCACACAGTGAATCACGACAGAACCCAGGAGTCCAGAGTTCTTTTCCTGTAACCACGGTCTCTCTGTCAGTAACTGAGTGCATGACAAGAGGGAAATGGACTGAAGGTCTAGCAGGTCCTCTGTGATGTGTTGGTTTGACGGACTTCCCCTCTGTGCAACCTGGAAGTGTAGTACCTCTGAGCCCTCAGGCATACCAATCTCAACCCCCTATCACATGGTGAGGCTATGACAAGCTGCAATCCTCTCCAGGTCTTCCACTTACACAGCCATACACTGACAGGGATCCACCCAGCTGCCGTTACATGAATACTTTCACTAGTCACTCATGAGCCAACAATAGTGGGGCACCAGAAAGTTCCCCCCAGCTCGCCAGCCTAGGACCCAGAGCTGTATTGTCTT